TCGACGAGCGCAAGGCAGGGGGTAGACCCACAGCCCGACCCGCCTGCAAGGCGAGCGGGGCCAGCGGACTCCAAGACCGCGACTGGGCGGAGCCAGGGAGGGGGCGGGGCCCTGCCCTTACCCCTGTCCCGCCCTGCCCTGCTTGGGGCGTCACGTGAGGCGGGCGGAAGCGCCCGGCGGGGTGGGCGCGCCGGACTCGAGGCTGCGACTTAGCTGCGGCGTTGCGAGTCTGAGAGTGTGCAGCGCCGGAACTCCGGCTCCCCGCGTGGAGTCTTCGCTCAGACCAGGTCAGTGCGGCCGCGGAGGCCTCCCAGGCAGGCGCCCCTTCGCCGCGCGTGGCCCGGGGTTTCCCCATTTCACAGAAGGGAACACTGAGGCCGCGCGGCGACTCTGCGCCCGGCGCCTACTTCCGCGGGCGTTTCTTCTGGGTTGTGTTGTTTCTCCTACCGGTGGTGGGGATGCGAGTCGCCTCTTGAGGATGCGAGGTCGGGCTAGAGACGGTAGGGAGGAGGGCGAACCGGCGGGACAGAGTGCTTCTAGCCCTCAGCCCTTAGGCATGAAGGCTCTCGGGATCCAGAGCTAGCCCGCCTTCGGGCGCCTTTGCTCGGCTGTGAAACGAAGGCTCCCACCTCCTTGACTGTGGTGACCCTTAGAGCTCTGCACATTGCTACGACCCTACGCCCTGGACCTGGGGCTCCAGTGACCTTGGGCAGACTATTTCCGGTCTCTGCACCTCAATTCTCCACCAGTAAATGGGAGCATGGCCTCCCAAGAGCCCCTACCTGGCCCATTTGCTGGAAAAAGAAGATGTGTCTTCATTGAATGGGGTCAAGCCGGGAGTAGATTGTTGGAATTGGAGAGAGCAGACTTGGAGTGCAGCCCGTGTGGTGCGGGGTGGCTGTTTGGTCCCCGATGGCCAGGACTGGTTTTTGGTTCTGGGGAACTCTTCTCAGTAGCCATCACATTATAGCTTCTGGCATATGCAGCCCCCCTCCCCTAAAGCGCCTATCCTGGGAGCCTTATCTGATCCTCAGGCCTAGGGGGCGGGGCAGAGAGCTCTGCAGAGTCTGACAGGTATGTGGAAGTACTTAAGGAAGGATTGGACTATGTACGAGCTAGGCACCGAGGTCCAGACAGAGGCACCCAAGATGCCTTTCCTCAGAGAGCAGAGAGTGCCCAGGCTAGAAGAGACCTCCCAGCAAGTTCATTACAGGGTAGAAGGAGCCCGGCAGAGTCAGGAATACAGGTGCAGACAGGCACTGAGATGGAATCAGGGACTGGGACTCTTGGAGGCCTAGGGAGGAAATGACTGGACTGGTCCTCAGCAGCTGTATGGCAGTTCACAAGGATAAGAACACTCCAGAGAAGGGCATAGCTTGTGCAAAGGCAGGAACTTGCATGGCATATTTGAGGAATGTTGAAGAGATGGGTATGGCAAGAAGGGGCAGCAGGGGCACAGTGTAGAGAGATCTCATTCCTGTGTCTCATGGCTGGTTTGGGATTGTCCAGACCCTGGCCTGGGAACCCTGCCTCCCCATTCTAAGCTTGTTCACTGGCATAGAGCAAGAGAGGGTTGACCCAGGTGCAGTCTTGACAACTGGGGAAGTCGAAGTTGGCAGAGGCCACCAGGGGTCCAGATTGTCCCCAGGCTTCATTGGGGCATTCCCCACTCAGCCCCAGCCTCACCCCCGCCCTTCTTGAGTTCCAGCCATCCTTTCCCACACATCAAGCCTCAGTCCTTTGTACAGGATGCTTGTCTCTCCTGCTCCCAGAAGTTTTCTCCCATCCAGATCTCCTTGGTACTTTGGAACTTCAGAGGTGGGCTGCTTATTGCTGCCTCCTGCTTAGCCTTTCAGCCCTGTGTAGTGGTACACCTTAGGAAAGACCTCCTTGGAGCTCTGTAGGGAAGGGGCCTGAAGAGCCGTGGGGATGGCTGGGACCTGGGGCAGTCCCGATGCTGCCACCAAACTGTATGTGACTCTGCAAGTCCCCGAACTTCTCAGTTCCTGACTCAGTTCCTCAGAGCCTCCATTTCCCCATCTGTAGGATGGGGTGATAAGGCCCAGTCTCATGCTCCAAAAAGAGTCTGATGTGGGGCAAATACTGAGCCTGCCTAAGTCTAAATCCTTCCCCCACCAGTAAGTGTTTAAATGAAGAAAAAGGAGAACCTAGGGAAAGGAGTCAATTCAGGGGGATGAGAGGCCTCTTAGAGTCCTAGGGCCTAGTGGTAGACTAGCCTAGTTCTAAGCCTAGGGCATTGGCTAGAAGAATGGAGTCCCTCCACTCTCTGGGGCCCTCTCCCCTCCCTACCCCACTCTCCCTTTGGCCAAGCTCAAAGCCAGCCGGCTGATGCCCAAACAAGCAGCCTCTGTTCCCAGGGTGGGGGAAGGGGAAGCAGGCCCTGGGCTCCAGGCCCTTCTGTTTAGCTTGTCCAGTACTGACCCTGGCCCCCCGCCCTTCGCTCTGGATCTTAACCCTTGGGAGCCTGGAGCTACTTGAGTGTTGTACCCCTTGCCCACCAGCTGTCTGCTCCAGCCCACTTTAGGCTCCCAAAGGTTCTATTGCAGCAGGAGGGGATGCAGTAGGACATGAGTTAGAAATGGAAAAGGAAGGAGGGAAGGGAGGTAGGAGGGAGGTTGGAGCAGATAGGCTGTGGACAGTCAGAGATCACTTGGTATAGAAGCTTTTTTTCACAGATGGGGAGACTGAGGCCAAGGGCCAAAGATTGGACCAGGATCACTCAGCGAGCCCTAGTGGGGGTAGGAATTACCCTGACTCTTAGTCTAGTCCATCTCAGGGAAAGGAGAGGGAAAGGAAGGGGGCGCTTTCCTTGATTTGAGTACCTACAGTGTGACTGACACTAGACATTTTTTACTTTATTAATTTTACATCATTCCATAGACAAGGATCGCCCTCCAGTAACAGAAGAAACTCAGAAAGAGTTGGGTAATGACATCAGCCAGAACAATGTCAGCAAACATGCACACAGCACTGTTGCAGGCACTTTTATGTATGTTAACTGGTTTTGTCCTCCAAACAACCCTAGAAGTTAAGTACCATTCTGTCACTAAGGAAATTGAGGCCCAGAAAGGTGAAGTCACTTGCCCAAGTTTACAGCAAATAAGCCGTAGAGGCAGGATCAGGACCCAGGCTTTTGTTTGCCTCTTTGGCCTGGTTTCCCCTCCCCCAGCCTGACCTCACCCTTGAGCTCAGTCCCCAGACTCACTCAGTGAGGGGCTTTCTCCTGGGTGGTAGCCAAGGCAGTCTCAAGCAGGGTGTGACCCCAGCCAAGTAGACCCATCCCTCCCTCAGGAGCAGAGTCTAGTCCCTTGGGTGGCCCCTCTTACTCCCTCCTCTGGTCTCAGTCAGGCTGTATGTATTCAACTTCTTCCATAGCCCTGAACAGAGGGGCGTTTCATGTTTCAGAAGGGGTTCTGCTGTAAGGGTTGCTTCCCCAAGGGTCTGAACAGCAGGAGAATATAGGCAGCCCTCAGAGATCACCTACAAGTACACTCCCCATAAAGCTCAGGGCTTGTCACTGACTCCTGAGTGCCCCTAGCCCTGATCAGAGAGGACGTCTTGTCTTCTTAACCCCATCCCATCAGACCCCCAGACAGGTACATTCCAACCAGGGCTCTGGGGAGGACAGTCCCATCCCAAAGAGACAGATGACC